TAACAGTTGTGTAGGTGTTGAATACTCATCATATTAAGACATAATCCCTACTTATTACAATTAACATGTAAGGGGCTGATGAATCCTAGTTTATGACCTTGAAATATTGGTAAGAGTTACATGTATTCCGCCTGTTTAAAATTAATAAAAAAAAATTAATTTTTGAAGAAAAAAAATATTTTCAATTGCCATTCTATTTCTAATGTTTTAATAAATCTTGCCTCCACACTTTTAATGATATTCTTTTATTTGAAGTTTTATTTAAAAAAAACCACTTATCTTATATACTTCAATGCAACCTTTATTAAATAATTTCTGCTTAATTGCAATTTTTGAAAATTTCCCCCGGTAAATGCTTTCTTGTATAAACTGCTTTAATTTAATATCAGCGTATTATGTACATGATGGATATTTAAGGGTAGAGAATTCGGCCCTTTGAGGAGTGGAAATCCTTAAGTGTGAGTTTGTTTATCATAAGCTCTCTCTGTGGCTGGTATGCCTCCCGTTGAATCCCTCCCTCTTTTAATCCATAAGATTCTTACGTCTTTGATGTCAAACTACAGACACGCGTCATAAGTCACCTTTAAAATATTAAAATAGCGGCGAATGAAAGAGATATCGTAGAATAAAATTATTGTAAAGCTTCAAACAGTGTTCTTGTCTGTTCTATTTTAGGTAATTTGGAATTCCCCAACATTCTTTGATACATAATTTCCGGTAGATAGACAAAAGATAAAAATGGCAGAAAATATAAAGAATTGAACTCTGATGTAAGAAATGCCATTGTGTCAATGAGGGATATACTTTACAGCATACTGCCAGTTAGGATTCATTAAACTTTATTGCTATACTTACATGTATATGACACTAGGATACATTGGGCCAACGTTAGCCCAACCTCACGAGGCCAATGTATCCCGATAGTACTTAGTAGTGTACGTTATCAAACATTTCCCAATATTGGCCCAAATATGTTATGCCGATATTAACGTACGTCCAACATGCTTATCTAATTTGTTACCCTCGCTGCTTTAATATTTGCATGCTGAGTGGTCATGCCTCTAATTGACCTCTAAAATTAAGCCACAAGCTGGCTTCTGATAAAATAAAAATAGTCCCCAATTCAAATATATCGTCGCCAGGTATATTTTTCTGGGGTACTATAAAGCTATAATGACAAATAAGATTTGTCGCAGAAAGGTGGAGGGGTCTATTGACTCCTTAATCTCCTCTTTTGAAAAAGAAAGCTGAAAGTATTTTTAATTTAGAATTTGATTAGTTCATAGTTAATTTATATTGGTCGCCAATTTGGCGACTAAAAGACTTTAGTATTTTAGGTGCAAATCAATTTGTAGGCGCCTTGGCGACAAAATAAGTCGCAAGTAAGAACATTCACCATGCTCGGGAAGGATTTTAGGAGTATGTGTTGCCCTCATGGCGCAGTGGTTAGAGTGTGTGCTCTAGAGTAAGAAATTAGCCTTACGTTGCCGGTTCAAATCCTTTTGTATGACGTTGGGAGAGTTACTTCGGATAAGACTATTCAAACCGAGGTCCTATGTCTTAGTAGGCAATTAGTTAAAAGGTCCCTCAATGCTCATAGACCATTAGTGCTGAGTAATGTACAAAATTTGTAACTCTCTTTTGGCGATTGGTGGCGTCTTCATATGAGTAAAAAATTCTCTCAAATAAAAATACACATAGCCCATTTCGGATATTATTAGTAGCCCGTCTGGGTCATAATAAGCATTTGTGAAATTCTCTTCCGTTTGGGAAACTGGTTCCAATCTGATCAAAAACTTGTTCTATTTTAAGTACGTGTTCCAGAAGAAGTCTTAAAGTGGGATTATGGTGCAAGAGAAAGGTTTGTAAGAAAGATAGGAAAAGACGCAGTAAAAATCTACAGATCAAGACTTATGATCGTGGGATGTGCAGGTGCGGGAAAAACAACTCTTCTGGAAAGACTTCTTAATCGAGATTTAGTTGATTTTCCAAAAACTGAATCAACAGTTGGACTAGACATTCATGAGAGTATATTCCAAATTTCTGACGAAACGAACAAAATGATTGGTAATATATTTTGGCATTTAAAATATAGACAAAATTGGTAATTTTTATTATCGTTCTCCCCTGCTTAAAAATTGTGCCGACTTAAGGCCTATTTAAAGATATATATGCCGCATTAGTGTTTTTATTTTTTCATCAAGTTATATAACTTATATACCTGCTGCAAATAAGACAATGCACTCCATCACTTCAAAAAGTTATGAAATATTATTTGGTAAAAATTATTTTCTTTCCGAGTCGGATATTAAACCGCCCCTTATTGAAATATTCATGCTCACAGCAAACAATGGTCCAATCTCATGAATGAGCCGAAAAGCACGATGGGCTACTTTATGTTTAGTTTTACTACAAACACGTGGGTTAGGGAAATTTCGGATGCGATTTCAAATGACTGCTGGAAAGCCAATTGCAATTTACAATTTTTGGAACGTGTTTGAGAAATATACGTCGAATAGATATTAATTAAGAATTCCCATGCTCACATAAACAAACAAATTCAGTTTTCCTTGTTCAAAAGTAGTTTGAAATACCGTTCACAAAGTCTTCACAAGTAAATAAGACTCCAGTTTTTCAACTCGATATTCGTAAATTTGCAATGTAACTGGTTGAATTAACTGAAGCTCAGTTATTTTTTACTAAAAAAAATTAAAGTTCATTCATTTATAAACAGAAAAAAAACTTAACTTGTACGTTTTTTTTAATCACCTCTGTATTAATTCTCATGTGCATTGATCGTAGAACGTGTATTGAGCAGCATACTCGTCTGTGTGTTTCGAAGTTGTATACTCTGTAAACATTGTCAATACGTAAGCACACCTCAGAGTTGGTTGCTTTTTGTACCATGGAATAGTCACATAAAATGACTTTTCACTGGAATCACAGCACGGGGAAAGCTGTAAACAAACAGACTTGTACAATGAAGCGGGGAAAACCCAAATTTTATCATTGTTAATCATTTGTATGTATATGTGAGCATGGGATTAGTAGATAATAATGTACTTAATGCATTTAGCGAGTAAAATGCTTGGAAAAATGCATCACGTCTCTCTGAGAGCGATTTAAAAAAGCCTTTAAAACTTCATGTGTAAGGTCAAATAGGATGCTTTCAAGTTTGATGTTGGCTATTCCCCTTGCAAAGCCTTTAAAAACACATGTACAAGTAGTAATTTATGTAGTAACCTGTAATCCAACTCATTGACAATTGTTTCCTCGACATGATGATTCTTGCGATACTTTTCCCGCACACATGGACAGATCAAGCATAAACGTCAATCCTTTATAAATATGCTTTAGAATATCATGTTCTTTTCCTGACCAGTACAGTGTTAATAACAAATAATATTTCGTCGAATTTGCAAGAATGCTTCATTTTTTATAGCTTATCAAACTTCAGTAATTTTTTTTTTTTTTGGTTTCAGCTGTGCAAAAATACTGTTTAACACGGCATATATATCTTTAAACTCCAATGAAATTTAATTTTTATTTATTTACCTAAAATATTTACAACAAGTTGGTTAAAAATTTCACCTAAAATCTCGATACACCTATATCCCAATTTCTTTTAAACTCCAAGTTTGGAGAGGACAAAAAATTATTAGTTTAAATATAGTCTTAAGAAATGATGTTTTTAATTTCTATATTTAAAGCACTCGGTGGCGATTTTCCACACAAAAAGAAAAAAACCTTGGGTATGACAGACTTTGCTGGACAAAGTGCATACTATGCCTGTCATCAGGTTTACTTATCAAGGAGAGCATTGTATATACTTGTCATTGACTTGTCAAAAAATCCAAATGCACTTGTACCATTAGAGAGGAATTTTTCCAGAGAAACATTATTTGAAAACTGGACCTATAGAGGTATTAATAAAAATTATAAATAATAATATCATCGTTCAAGCTGTATCATTTTTATAACCATATCAGCTGGGTTAAATAGTTTCAAAACAAAAAATAAACTTAGTCTTATAGTTTGCAACTTTCAATACTTTCTATTCTTCTCAGAAACCAATAGACCAATTTCATTGAACTTGTCTAAAAGTATCGTTTGGAATTTCGTTTCACCAAATGGCAAGCTTCGCATGCTCTCAAGGGGAGATAGTTGCATCTATTAAAAAATAAACTTTTTTCTCCAGACTGTATATCTAACTTTAAGGCAAGCTCAGTTGTACAGTACCGACCAGACCCAACCTGACACCCAAGCAGTCCCCCGGACTGCTTTGGGACCGCTCTGGGACTGCTGTGGGGCTGCTCTGGGACTGCTTTAAAAAGCAGACCCAGCAGACCCAGCTGTCCCTGGGACTGCTTTCTGGAACTGCTTTGTTCACTCATGTGTGAAAGAAGTTCTTAGTGACATGATAGCTTCGCCCCCCCCCCCCCCCTGTGTATTCTGAATTTGCAGGCTCCCAGTTGTTTTGTTTACTTAAAGCAGAGAGATTAAACTATTAAAAAAGCAAGGATTTCTTACAATCTTTTGATAAGTAGAGAATAAGTAGAGAATATTATACATGTAGTTAATTAATATTTTCAAAGACTGTACATTTAAACAAATAAAGTTAGAATATTTGTTTTAAAAATTAAGTTATTCAATAAGGAAGTTATAAGTAGATTTTTATCCCTAAAAATAAACTACAGGTTTATGAGAAAAAATATCTAGTATGTAGATCTATTTCATTATTTGATGTAAAATAATGTGCACTCAAAATTTGCATTGGCACTATTCAAAAATAATCATTATAAAGTTAGATATAAGATTTTTAATTGAAAAGCTTCATGTTTTACGAGCACCACTCTGAAAAAGTATCCCATGCAACCCTAAAATAAAGCCAAACAATTTATTAAATTAACCATAAAATAAAATTATGCTACCATTCTTCCATAACTTAAACAATTTGAACAATCATCGGGGAATTTATTAATGAATTACCGGTAATTTTTTATTTATAAACAAGTTATCAAAAGAGAACATTTAATTTTTAAATAAAGAGTTGAAAATACCTGGAATTGTGAATTTCTGTTTTCTTTTGCTTGTGTTTACATGTACCTGGCCGATTAATGTTTATTACATGGTATCAACACCCGCGGTTTCAATCGCATTTAGGCAGAAAATCAGTGCATGCAATTTGGGTATACCTATCACCATTTCACATCATTGAACATGCTAGTCAACAACTGGTATCCCGATAGTATGGAAAATGGCCATATAATGATAAGATCTATTTAAAGCCAATTCTGACTGGTGGAAATTATTCACGTTTAATTCTCTGTATAAAAAAATGGGAAACCGTAAAAATCACAGAAAATAAAGAAATTAAATAATTAATTTAGTACACCTGATATTTGTGATTAAATGTTCATGTTCAGTTTAATTCATACATGTACGTGGGAAAGCCTTCTTCCTTAAATAAATAATCATTCAATTTGTTTCTATGCGCTTACTGTTCATAAATGACCTTTGCATACATGTAAGGATTCCTGGCATACTATCCGGAATCAATTTCTTCTGCCTTTTATAATTCCACTGTTTATTGTTAATCTCATTTCTGAGTTAGCTCCACCCATTAAATTAATAAACTCCGCCCACTTGGACTGCTGGGACTGCTTTCTTGGACAGCTCTCTGGGACTGCTGGGACTGCTAGGACCGCTTTTGGACTGCTGTGGGACTGCTTTAGCATTTCCAGAAAGCTGTCTCCGGGACTGCTCTGGGACTGCTTTGTGTCAGGTTAGGTCTGGTCGGTACTGTAGTGTAGATATATTCCTTTTAATTATGACCCAAGGGTAAGAATAGGGATACTAACAGTGAAACAGTGGTACATCTCAAAATGATCTATAAAAATACCCAAAAAATATGTGAAGATGGCGAAAAACATTTGCTTTTGAAAATTAATGGTATCATATCTATAAAATAGCTCAAAAGAAAAGGAAGAAAAAAAAAACTTGTTTATCAAGCTTTTATTCAATGTTTGATTGATTTACATCGAATCGACATTATTTAAAGACTTATATCAGCGTTATTTGAATAACTTTTAATATGGCGCAATATTTTATCCTTCTCTTAAACTTAAATAAATAGACAAAAAGAATTGAAACACAAAAGATTGAAATTTTTACTGCACAAAAGAAATGTTACAAACCAACTCATACAGCTTTTCTATTTAGTATTGAGCTCTATTCTATGTCTTTATCGTGCTTCTTTCATATATGGTATTTTAAGTTAATTTTCTATACTTGTCAGATTACAATAAATTCTGGATGGAGTCCATCAGCACATATTGTGATACGACGAGTCCAGTCATCTTAGTCGGTACCCACAAAGATGTCATCAATGAGCAAACAGAGAAGGTTATATGAAAAATAATGACTCCAGGAGATTGAATTTTCTGTTTTTAAGATCATGCTATTTTTTCCTGTGTTTACCGTCTACATGCACTTGTGTTTTTAACCATATATAACGGAAAAAATAAGACGTTCTGGAGTTGTTTTGCAGGTCTTTGATTTCTTTTATTTTCTTTTCATATCTGTCTACAATATATATCACATTTGGTGTAGGACAAGTGATTAATATCCTGGAGGTGCTTAAAATTGAATTCCTCAATATAAAAAAGAAGTTAGTGAAATCAAATCCTTTGAATGAGGTCATTTTCATTGATTTAAATCTATGGGTTTTTTTATCTTATGTATTTTTTTTTTCGAATAGATAGATTTGTTTTTGAAAGATGCTTGAATGTTGAAAACAAAAGATATGGAATGGCCTAATTTTTAATATGAAAGTAGGATAGTGAAAACGAAATATTTAGACAAATAATTTTAATTTATATGTGGAATTATTAAATGCATATTATTGATTAATTTTTTTTAAAAATACAAATACATGTATGTGTTAAAGCATGTGATTCTACACTCACATACTCAAGTGTATTCGGGGTAATATGTAGTTAGGTTTCAATATATTTGTTTATATCATAATATACACATATATTTCAAACTTAAATTGTGATAATTTTTTTTTAGGACAAAGATCATTTCAGCAGTTTTCTTTCACAACTCCCAGATGTCAGTCAATTACAACAGCATCTCCATAGAAAGAACTACTTTGAATTAGGGAAACCTGAGGAAAGCAGAGATGAAATTGCTAGATTGGAGAAATGTATTGTCGAAATGGTAAAGAAACAATCAACTTGGGGAGAAATAGTACCGAAACTATGGAAAGAATTTGATCAGAAATTACATCGTTTGAAAAGTAAACGCTTGATCACTTATTCAGATTTAATAAAATCTATCGAGTCCCAATTTCCATCGGGAAAAGACGTCTTGGACATGCTACGATTCTTTCATGATTGTGGCAAAATATTATTTTTCAATGAAAAGGGTCTAAATGAAATCATTATTCTTGATGTCCAATGGTTTGTTGATGCATTTAAAAATATCTTGACTGATCGGAATCACCAGACAAATGTTTTGAGGAATCAGTGGGAGGCCTTCAGTGAAACAGGTATGCTAGAAGAGGAGCATCTTGAAAAGATATGGGAAGAATTAGGACTACAAGAGATGAAAACATATCAAACTCAGGTTCTTCTGTATATGCAGCGACTTGGACTTATAGCAATTGGAGAAAGTGGAAAACTTTACGTACCAAGTATGAACAGTCTTGAACTGACAAAAAATGACTTTTCACGAATTGAACAGGCAAATCACACTAATATTTTACGATTTAGATTTCCAGAATTTTTGCCCCATTTTTATTTCTATAGACTTGTTGTGGCAAGTTTAGAAGAATGGGATGCACAAATTGAGAAAAATGTTCCACTTCTTTTCAAAAACGCTGTTTTCCTAAAGTACAAGGACAGATACCATAAAATAGTCTTGGGCGTAAGCAATACACAAATTCACCTGCAAATTTATACATGCAACTCAAAACTGCTTAAGAAAGATGTGACTCTGACGATTCGCAATAAGATCGAATCATTTCTGGAACAATTAACACAAACTTTTCATAAACCGGTGGAATATTTTTCCGGATTCACATGTAAACCTACAAATGTTACAGAAGAACACGAAGACTCTGTTTTCATTCTTGAGTCTGTTTGTATGAATCTTTATTTCGCTGATCCATATGAATCACTCTTACCATGCCCAGCACATGAAAGAAATTTCCATAATCTGGATTTGAACACCATGATCATGTACTGGAGAAAGGTAAAGTTTATTTTTTCTAAGGAAAGTTTCTTTTATTGTTCCCTTCCTTTGTTCAGGTGCAAAATATTTTTTACACTCTTTTAATAATTAAAGTCTATTAAAGGTATATATGGTTAAAACTACAATATTTATCGCTGCAAACAGTCTTAACAGGGTGATAAAATATTTTAATGATATATTACTTCTTACGAAAGCTTATCTGTGTTCAAATTGTGGTATTGGATAAGTTCAGCACTGGCAAAATCGTATATAAAATCATTTCTTCTTATTACATATAATAAGACATGTTAATTGTTATGTTTATAGACATAGTAAAAAAGTTATTAATACCACTGTTTCTTTTACAGATGAATTATTATATTTTTGTTATTATGAAAAATGGACAAACAAAGATGATTTCAGGATAAATACACAAATAAGAACATCAATCAAAACATTTCGTATCATTAATCAACAGGAAAAGTCATGGGTTATTACTGCAATTTTGCATGTACGTTTAAAAGATGTCGACATCATGAACCCAAGCTATAAAATTTTTTTAACAAGAAATAATATACTTTAAGAGAACTATCCACATCCATATGTGAAATACTGAATTATACCATTCGATTAAGGTAATCAATCCCTAATAGGATCAAATTCAATGAAATTGAATGCATAACAGATATGTAGGTATTGAATATATACTAAGCTTTTTTAGACATACTTCCCATTAATTACCAATAGTATGTATAGTGGGATGTCTCCTTATTTATGACCTTGAATTTTGGCAAGAGTTATCTCCCCTTATTTTAATTAATAAAAAAACAATTAAAAAAAATAGTCGGTAAGAAAATTGTTTTCAATTGTCATTCTATTTTTAATGTTACAATGCATCTTTCCACCGCAGGATTTATTGATATTCAAATTATTTAAATATTTATTTTGATAAAACGTTTTTCCCCCATAGATTTCAATGCAATATTTCATTAAGGTCATAATCCAGGCTGTCAAATATAATTTTCAATGTGCAAAAAAAAAAAAAAAATTAAATGTATTTGTAAACACGGACGTTTTCAAGAGGAATCTTTATGAATTCACCAGCAGGATTATCATGTAAAAAATCGAACAACATGATCTGATATATTCCTATTTCTTCAAACCTAAAATTTTCTTTAAAAGAGTAAAGTTATAATCACACAACCATAGGTGCCTTAGAAAGGACACGACCGAAACCAAAAAATTAAAAAGAAATCAAATGTTTCTTTTTATAGACTTACCCTTCATTGCTCAATTATAGTTGGAATTAGGTCAAAAGAAAATCATTTTTACCTTTCCAGTACCCTAATTCTGAGAAAAAAGTTTAGAAAATCAATTAGAATACAAGTAGCTTGGATGTAATAAAATAATTTAGGACTATGCTTTCCCGAGGTACTTACAAGTAGCTTAGATGTAATAAGATAGTTTAGGACTATGTTTTCCGAGGTACTTACAAAGTGTAATGTGTTTTTATTAATAATTTTCTATAAAAAAAATGCATTTACCTCTATAATAAAGCACAATAATAAAAGTAGCAAAGATTCTCAAAGAAAATTGTGGTAAAAAGTGGATTAAAACTCGCATTCAGCATATTTACAATGTAGCAATCATACATTTTGTACCCCCGAGCCAAGGAAGTCTTCCCAGTTTGAAGAATTAAATACAGATTTGGTTTTACGAATCTCTAAAACAAAGATTTTATGACAAATAAAGTTAAAGAATATACATATATTTTAAAACCACCTTATAGAGTAGGCGAAAATGCTTATTAAATCCGCCACGGCTCTTTTTCTAATTTCTTTAACAAGAAACATCTATCCAACAATGTACAATATTTACGTAATTATGTAAGCATTCCTCTCTCGCCTTTTCTAATGAAATAAAACGATATATGAAATACATGGTTACCGTCTTAAAATATGAGATATTTGAACTTGGGCCGAAAACATGATAGATGGCGAGGCTAACCATCGCAAAATATCTCTTATATTTAAAGACAGTAGCCATGTATTTTTTGTTTATCCTGCAGCATGCTTTACATCAGGTCTTGGAAACAAGCTATTTTCAACCAATTCATGTACATGCAAATCTTTTAAGTTGAAACTAAGACCCCATGGTGTAAACATTGCAATACACGTGACGTCACAACACCGGAATACATACGCGAGGATTTTTAGGATATTTTTAGGACATTGACCGAATACAGTTTTTGTTTTTTTTTGTTACCTTTTATTTCGAAGAAGTAAGAGATATTTGTAGTCTTACCATATGAAAATAATGGAAAGAATGTGTTCCTACTCCAATAAATTTTGATTGCATTGATAAATGCAAATAATTTTATTGTTTTTTTTTTAAATAGACGTCTGAATTGCATGATACGTGTTGCCAACGCCTTCTTTGCTGTCGTAAGTTAAATCAGGTATATACTTTTATTCTATCTTTTATCGATATATATAATTTTCATATGATATTGGTCATTCGGCATGTGTTATGCCTGTCTATCTGTATACATTGTAATTGTCTGTTTGACCGCATTAAATTTGGTTGGAGGTATGGAAATTTTCAGCTTATGTCATTCCCAACTGTTACTTTCAAATCTTTTAATGATAGGCAGAGATATTGCCGAGTTAATTTGGTATGGAAAATATGGTTTGAAAGTAATTTTCAATAAATCTGAACTATTTCCATTGGCATAGTGCTACTGAATCATCCCAAAAGATTTTTAATTGAAATAAAAATTGGAATAAACGGAAATATTGTTAAGAATGTTATATAAATTAGAATTTATTGTCTGTCAAATATTTAAAATTAATATTTTAAAAATATTGCATGTAGCTGAGTGTAACATTGAAAATTTTCATCCCAAGAAAACCATTGTCAATCGAGGCGCAGCCGACTTCGACAATGGTTTTCGAGGGATGAATTTTTTCAATGTTACACTCAACTACATGCAATATTCATTATATTATACTGAATGTTTTATACAAATACATATACCAGTGAACCGTGCACACATAAATTCTGCGCAGTCGCTATTTTTTGGAATATCACCCGTCGTCAAGCAATGTTAACTATTGCTACTCATGATCAGGAGGGCGTGGCTTCATTATTCAGTGGGTAATAGTGATTTTTAACAAATGTTTCTCGAGCAATCAGATTCAATTAATTTACATGAAAGTATAATATATGTTAATATAGGCCGACCCTTGGATTCTTGTTTAGGGAGCAGGCTGCTACTGAACGGTTTTGCCCCCTTTCTTTTGTCGAAAATTTTAAGTGAAGAAAATAAATGAAATCCCTTTTCATCCTAGAAAAATATCAACAATAAAGTTAGTTTTTCAAACGTTTAAAAATTAATCACCCACCCACCCCCACCCCGACAAAAGTCAAATAGCCGTCCCCTGAAAGATTGTTAATCTTCAATCTTGTTTTCATCCTGCATAAATTTTGCGCATCTATAGAAATATATACTGAAATGTTTAATCAACTTCTATTTGAATATTGAAATTATTTTTTTCATAAGATTTTACTTTAAAAACTTATTAGATGTATTGAAAATCTTCTTAAAACCACAACTTCAATACAACAATCTAATATTTTCTAAGATGCCAAGTCAATTGCATCTGCTCAAATTGTTGTGCATCATTATATATGTTGACTCCAACAGAAGGAAATAAAGTACTAAGTACTATAATATTCTGCATATTTTCAACCGTGCCTGTTAATATTCCACCGTCGTACGCCGTCAGTATTTCTGTCAATAGAAGGACAACATATTTATTTTTGGCAGTAAAATATATGGACTGTTAGTAACGAAAGGATAAGTTAAATTTCTTTACAACTTTTTAATTATTACATAATATACAAGTCCTGTTCTTATTATTTTCTTGCCGATTCTGTGCAGACGATTTCCCGAAAATGAATTTTATAAATATGGAATGATTATTAATAAAAAAAACTTGAATCATATTCTTTTTACCAACCTCGAGTTTCCTGCTTTTAAGTGAGTTTTTTGTCGAGGTGTTTTCTAAAAAGTAATTATTTCTATTTTATTTAAATGCACCGCTATTTTAAAACAAAATTCGTTTTATCTTCTTTTCAGCGGAGGAACAAACAATTCAAATGGAAACAGATAAATTACATCTATGAAGAAGACGAGACAAGTGTTTGATGCAATGAAATATTTGATTTGGCTGATTATTGATTTGCGTTCCTTACTGGAATATTTCACCTGTACATGAGTGAGATTTTTTTAAAGTTGAAATACAATAGACTTTTCACTGATGAGTCAGAAATTACTCAGAAGTATAACGTACTTAATATATATCGATATTTCGTTTTTTTTATTATTGTAAACATTTGTTTGATTTGAAAACACATTTTTGTTTGTTTGAATTGTTTTATTTTCTAGTTCATGGAATATCATTTTTCAAAGAACAATGCTGATAAGATTGTGAAAAAGCATTCAGTCTGCATTAACAGACTTATTAGTTCGTAAATGAAATGAAAGTACATCATCTTGAATTTCGTGATTAAAACAATATTTTTACTGTAGGGAATCATAAATGTAAAATTCACTCTAAAACTAACAGAAATTCTCAGCTCTAATTTGTTCCGCGAGCTTGGCAATTTTTACGTCGATTTTGCTCCCACACGCGTACCTATGCGTAATGTTTTTAGCATGTTAACACTTGGGAAATGTACCCAGTGTTTATTGAGACTTATTAATAAACATTCACGTACAGTACAATACAAGCTGGATTGTTTAAATTCTATCCTGAATCAAAGATTCGTGGTATTCATTTGCAAGGGGATTTGCTGGCTTAAGAATTTAACAGCTACAATTTACTCTCAACCATTAAGACTCGGAAGGGTTGAATAATATAATAATTCAAATAAGAAAGATAAATGCTTTGATGATTTCAATGCACAGGAGAATCAATGTTGTTAGTGATGCGCAAGGTATATGATGAGAATTTTTATTTTGTGGGGGATATCGACATTTCAGATTCCATAACTCATGAATTATCAGTCAAAGCCCGGTAAATTCAAAATTTACAACATGACAGTAACGCACGATTCTTGTAAACATATTCCAAATAATAGTTTTAATTGAATTCTAAAGTTTATTTTGCCTTTCTTCTTCCTTTCAGTACATGTATATATACTTTTTTTTTATCACTTTATACATATGTTTTGTAGCTTTTATTTGAGTTTTTTTTTCTATACTAAAGAAGAAATAGGAAATAATTCTTAAGATCTACCAGTTTAAAAAACATGCAATTATTGTTTAACTGTAAGAAAAAAGATAAAAGGTAAAAAAAAGTTATACGAATATAAAGTTTATTTTTCATTCTGTTGTTTTTTTGTTTACATTTTAATGAAGAGATTTGTGCGTGATTCATATATAAAGTCTTAGAATTCAAAGTATTTAAAACTAACATTTTTTTTTTAATTCTCCCAATTTTTAAGTGTTATTTCACATACATATACGTCACTATATATTTGAGCTTATGTATTGTCATTTCAAAATTAGGAATACATTTTTTCTTACACGATGCTCTTTATTTTCCTTTAATTTTATTTATGCACATGTAATAAGTATTTAAACAGCTAATATAAATTCAATTCATTGACAAACAAACTCTAAATATATTAAGTTCTTTGTTATCCTTGATTGTATTTGAATGTATTACAGTATTCAGTGCGGAAATATAATTTTCGTGACGGCAGCTGATGCCGATCGAGCCTCGTGACGAAATTCAAAGTTTGCATGAATTTTAGTTGAGAACAGTATCAACACATTGAATTTAAGCTTAAAAAATAAAATGGATAGTGAGAAATACATAGTTGAAGCCAATGCTAGAGGCAAACAATAGGCATATCCAATTTATGAGTTAAATTGAAGCCTGAATCGATCAGGGGGTCAAAATGGCACTGCACACCTTGTGGTTTTTGTATAAAGGGGGAAGAATTTTCAATGAATCGCATTATGAGCGAAGGGTTGATAAAAATTCAGGTGCTTGTGGTTTATACGGTCTCACTCGAAGGACCGGTCTCCACATCCCATAGTGGGATCATAAGCTTATTTTCTCCAAAATGTTAATCAACTGAAGACGAAATTCGGAAGAGGAATTGATGATGAGTAAAAATGTATAGTCAAATGAATAAAACAATACAGAGAGATTGCTGATGGAACGATTTTTTGGGCAATCATACTGATCAATCCGATTATCAGCAAGGTCCAATTGAACATGTAGCTTAGGTGAATTAACACAAAAAATATTCACATCTAATAATTAACAGCTAAACAATTCAATTAAATGTTAAGAACATGCATTTACATGTATACAAATAAATTAAGAGGTTTTTGGTTGTTCCAGAGATATAGGAAATTCCTGTAATTAAAATACATAAGCCGGGCTTTCAAAAGAGTGTTAACCGTGTGTTTGATGAATCATACCTATTGTTATTCTGTGTATAAGTCTGTCTTCTGTGTTAAAAATATCTAAGTGTTACTTATCCTGTTGACTTGCAAATGCCTCTGTCCATGTGCAACAACACAACAACAGTGTTGGTAAAGTTAAAAAAAAATAGTGAGAACATTAATTGGCCTCCGTCCTATGCTGAACTCAGTCGTCATTTTTCCCTTTGAAATTTTAACAATTTTGTCCTGAAAATCTAAAAGCAACTGTTGCAAAGAGCAACATAAAAAAAATAGCAACGTTCGTTTTTCTCTTCCCCGATTAAGAATAAAAAAAATCAATTATAATTAATACATGAAGACAAAACGGAGAAGTGCAGTTACTATATGTTGCTCTGTAATTTGATTCCACGGCGGTTTGTCAAGTATCCTGCTTTTGCCTATTTAGCCGTTGTCAGACTTACTGTTTTTTAACTAAGCAGTATCCAGGAAGACGGCCAATGAACGAAAATGTTAGGAAAGAACGACGGATACCTCAGAATCTTACATTATGCTTAAAGTAATAAGTAAGAAGAAAAGTAAGAAGAATAAAAAATCATAAATTAAAGAGTTACATGTATCCTTCCTGGATAAGAATTGAATATCCTTAAATTTGCATATGTTAAAGTCACCAGAAACAGTCTGATGAAACACATAAGAAAAAATACAATACTCTTTAAAGGGTTATTTTCCTTAAGGAAATGTCATTTTCTTCGATCAATTTTTAGCTAAATTGTGTAAAATTCTTTTAAAATTGACATTTCTCAAACTTCTTGTGCGTGAAACATGTGCTCTCTAAATCTGAAATAGAGTTTCACTCAACATTGATGTTTTCTGCAACGTTTTAGGAAAATACAGAAAAGTACAATTGGTCATGCCGTTACAATATCGATTTTGGAGGTCATATGGGAAAACCGATTTGTATTTACTGCATGGAATTTCATTGATTATAATAG